GAAAAAACAGAGAAGAAAAGAAGAGAAAAGAGCAATACGAAAATGGTAGAGGTAAAGAAAAAAGGAAAAGAAAAAGAAAAAGAAATTCAGAACGACAACTACTACCCGTGGGGGGTAAGAGGAAGAGAACGACGATGAGGAGGAATGATGATGGCTGAGAATAATTGCGCCGAAGTCAATACAGCGCATTACTAGCGAGAAGTCTAGTCTGTCGGACTATTCTTCCTCTTCCTACTATCTATCAATCCATCATCCATGGGTCCAGAGGGTCCTTGTGTCGCCCGTTGGGATCGCATCTCGATCGGATCCTGAGCGCCGGTAGAGGATGGACGATAGCTGGTCCTTGCCATTCTCCATCCATCCATCCATCCATCCATCCATCCATCTACTCCTATCGACCCAGCCTATCGGAAAGAGGATCTATCGAGTCTCGTACCGTGGGTCGGCTTACTGGCTCTGACAGGTCCGTCTGGACTAGCTTGGTTGCTTAACGGGATGGAGTCCACCGGCCTCTCTAGACCGGCTCCAGTTCTCCAGCAGCTTTTTCCCTTTTCCCCCAGCTTCGTTCCACATAATGTAGAGTCTCAACCTGTCACCGCACTCCTCTCTGGTCTGCTGGGCTCGATTGATCGGGGAAGCGCAATGAAAGTGCTAGCCAAAATACCTGCAGCAGGAAGACCCAGTGGATGGAAGGATGAGATGAGCATTAACTAAGGATGATCGGCGTGGCATTCCTTCTGGTCTCCTCTTCTCCAGCAATGCCAGCTTGCGGAGACCTTGACGTGGGACATGCCATGACCATCCGCTTCGATTAGCTCGTCCTGTCAGAGCTTTCTGATGGGGCCCTGGGATGCCTCTTTTTCTGGATTGTTGACTCAATTCCTCCCTCACCTCGACACGTTATCGCGTGGGGGGGGGGGGGGGGAGGCATTTTGAGGGTTTGTAATGGAGATCCTCGGTCGATCCTCTCTTTTCTCTCTCGATCTCTCTCTCCAGTTTTGCTTTTTCCGGCCTGTCGTCTGTTCTCTGTCGGTTTTTATTTATTTTATTTTATTCTTACAGTAATGTGTTTTAATTATTCGGTATATTTATTTATTCTTAATTATTATTTATTTTTCTCTAATTTATATTTTTACTTGCATTTTTTCCTTTTTCCTCCTCTTGGACTGCGTATTTTCCTTCCACTTTGCCATTGTTCCCCATCCAATTATTCGCTTACTGCTTGCTTGTGCTGCTGCTGCTGCTCCTCGTCTTCTTGCATGCTTAGTTCCAGTCGCTCTTCCTATCGTCCCCCCTCTTTCGCTGTCTTGCTTTTTTGGTGAATTTTTTTTTTCTTCTTCTCCTCTTCTGCTCGTCTCGTCTCCTTCTCCTCCCATTTCTTTTTCTCCGGTTCATCGGTCGCTCATCCGGCTGATTTTCACTCTCCTCCCTTTCTTTTCCTGCTTTCGTTTTAGCCCAGGTGTCTTTCTGGTCGCCGACCACGGCTGATTCTCCTCTCCCTCCTCTTTCTCCTTCCTCCTCCTCTTGTCTCCCAATATATTATTCCTTTTAGTGATACGCGGCCGATCTACCGGCTCTCTATCATTTCCTTCTTCTCAGCTGGGACCCAGTGCTCGACAGTCTCCTAACCCAACGATTCTACCCCGAAAGGGAAAAGGAAACTGATCATCATAGGAGCGTTGTGGCTCATCATCGCCGTCTCGGTTTAGAACCCGATCGGTTTCCTCACGACGGGTTTCGTCCCCTCTTGCTATATGATAAACCTCCCAGTGTCCGCCCTCTCCTCCCGTCTCGCCAGAGGCTATCTTCCTACTCGCCAATAACACACCGAGAAAGCGGGTGAGCTTACTCCTGTAGGATCTGCTTCATCCTGCCACTATCACACACATCATGAGTGTATGTTGCAGTTTTCTTTTTGTTTATTCCCCTGAATATTCAGTCATGCACCGGCGGGCGGGATATATGTACATGCCCGGCCGGCCAAGAGACGGGCCAGAGCTGACTCTTGGTGACACAGACATCCGATCCCAGCAAGCCCTGGGACAATTCCAGTGATATCCTACAAGGCATCATGGGCACTAGGGCAGTGCCTACGTCAGGTTCTTCGCAGGTCGACCTCTCATCCGACGGGCTGTCCCCGTCCGAGCTCACGCTGGGCGATCCGGCGTCATTCTTGGGCTTCCAATTCGCATCCGAGCCAGCCATTCCTCATCCTAGTCATCCATCCATTCTTCAACCATGGTCACTGTATCACAAACAATCATCCTCGCCCCTCCCCCAGCTATTCGATGCCTCCGCCTATCCTCCGCTGACCCGATGGAGAAACGACCAAGAGGCGTGGAACCCGCTCCAAGTGACAGGTGGGCCCATCTATCCCGCTGCGTTCGTTGTCCCGCGTTCGCACCAAGTCTACGGCCTCGATCGCCGGTCATCAAGTGGACATCACAGCACGCCCTCCGAGGCTGGCAGTCAGTATACCGGTATCCATCTGTCCGACTCCGGATATAGTACGCAGGGCTGCACCACCCGCTCTGTGGCTGCATCATACGCCCTCGAGTCGGCCTGCAGCCCATTTCTGGCACCTCTCGACCACGAGCAGGATGATAGAGTATCCGCACTCGACCTCAACACCGCCCCATATGGTGACGCCATGGATGCGTTGGACTCTCCGTCCTTGTTGTGCCAGGACGTGATCAAGTGCGACTACCCTGGGTGTCAATGGACTGGCAAATGTCCTTCCGACAAGAGGTTGCGTTCCCTTAGGTGCTTGCTTCAGTGAAAGGGCTAGGAAGCTGACTGTCACAGGAAACACGAAGCCAGGCACAAGAAGCTCTTCAAATGCGACGAGCCGAACTGCACCCGCAAAGAGGGGTTCGGTACCATCAACGACCTTGCTCGTCATAAGAAGTGTGTTCACAAGCAGGAGCCTGAGCGGGGGCCGAAAGTCCTCTACATGTGCTTCGGACATAACTGCCCACGCCGGAATAAGAAATGGCCCCGGTTGGACAACTTCCGTCAACATCTTGCTCGTATGCACAGTGACGAGGACGTTGATGAGCTACTACGGAGGTAGGTCACATGAACACACTGCGCATCAGCTGCAAGATGGAGACATTAACATATTATCTAGGTCGCATGTGTGGTATGAAACCTGCGTGAAGCCGCAGGAGCTGGGGTCCTCTTTCATTGATTTCCTGTCGGAAGAAGCGCCAACCCTACAGGCCGAACCAGTCTGCCAGTCCGAGAGGCTTGCAAAAGATACAATTCAAGGCTCTTCGGCCTCACCAGTTAGCGTTGATAGGGGATTTCCGTCTCCTGAAACCCTCACACCAGATACCGTCATGCGAATGAATGAAGAGTACAACGACCGTAGCGCTGACGCTGCATCGGTCCAACCGCCGCTTGCAAAGCCACTCCCTAGCGAGCTGCCCGCTCTGAGAGCCCTCAATCTGGAATCTTCGTTGGATCAAAAGGTTCCTCTACCCACCCAGCTCGACACCGCCAGAAACGGAAAGATGGACGACATGGTCAATGAAGCTGCAGTCAACATGATCAATGCGATGACAAAGGCCATGAACACCAACGAGCGAAGACGGAGCCAGCAATCCGAGTCTGGGGACGAAATTGTCGACCAGAATGTGGAGCTGTCGGACCGCAAGCGCGATATGCTACAAAGGATCTTGTCCGCTGCCCTTGATCGTCTGTCAGGGCCGTCTGGCTCCAGCCACGCCCCTTCCCAAGCCACTCCAGATGAAGACCGTGAGAAGAAGGGCTGGATTCAATGTGAATTTTGCACGAAGCGGACGCGTCTGCGATGTGAGATGAAGTAAGTGAGCCTTGGTGTTTCTTTTAATATCAGCCGGGACTTTGCTGACTGAGTGGTTTTGAAAGGAAGCATAAGAAACGCCACGAACGGCCATATGGATGCACCTTCTCCAAGTGCAACAAGACTTTCGGCAGCAAGGCCGATTGGAAGCGCCACGAAAATTCCCAGCATTTCCACGCGCAGTGCTGGCGGTGTACCCTGCCCGATGCCACGCAAGAGGGTCTCCCGTGTGCGCGCCTATTCTACCGCCAGGAGATATACGTCCAGCACCTGAAGAAGCATCACGAAACCGATGACGACGAGGTCCGGGCGTCGCTGTGCAACAATCGGATCAACCGCGACGGTGATCCGCGTCCCTCGCACTACTGGTGCGGTTTCTGTCGGGTCCTGCTACCCCTGAAGACACAGGGAGTGGGCGCCTGGAACGAACGATATAACCACATCGATGTCGAGCATTTTAAGAAAGGCGAGCGCGTGGAAGACTGGCTCCTCCCCTCTGGACATCTAACCAAGAGTCAAGAGCGGGACGAGATCAAGAAACAACGGGCCGACGGTAACGGTTATGATAGTGAGCCGGCCATGGATGAAATCAGCGATGACGAATCCGTGAGCAGCGAATGTGCTGCCGAGCACGAGCCACTGCAGGATGACTTGATGGCGATCGACGAGGAACCGACGCCGGAGACCGACTCGTTGCAACACAATCAGTCTAATTCTTACCCTCAATCGTTGAATTTGCGGAAGCGGAAATTTCCGGCGCTGCAGTCTCCAACGAACCCTCACAGAGATACCGCACAGATGGCGGGTCTGGACAAACGGTCAAGACTCGATTCCTCATGGGGATCATTCTATCGTGGTGACGACACCATGCAGCCGAGTCGGTTGCCTCACGAAGGCAGCTCGGCTTATTGTGTTGGCCTAGCCTCGCACGAGGGGATGCAATAACTTGGCACGGATCAAGCGGTGCTCCACCATCTTTACAGTATTGATGAGCCTACTATGGTTGGAGGATCCTCATGACAGATAAGGGGGGCATGTAACTTTAGCCACGTCCAGTCACATCATTTGTTTTGTTTTTCATAGCGTTAGGATACACACATATATATAACGAAGACACGCATACCGACAATCAAGATTCAAGAACAAGATTACCACTGCTACAAGCACTCCACATAGACATAAATATATAAATATAAGATAAGTAGGGGTATATATACACTCCGAGACACAAGTAATAAACCAATTGAACGAGGCGATGAAACGCTTATTTTTGCGCGCCGGTCAATTCCTTAGCCTTCTTCTCCAGCGCCTCTACCTCCTCTACATGGGATCAGTCAGCCACATTCTGTCCTTCAATTTCATAACAACACAAGAACCAAAGATCAAGTAGAGGATAAAGGACACTTACTATTCTTCTCCGCCTTAGATTCATCCATCTCCAACTTCAGCCATGTCCAGTGGATGACCTGATAGGTGAAGATGGCACCGAGAAAGACCTTGGCAAAGGGACTCACAAAGAGTTTGTAGCGGGCCATCTGGTTGCATGGGTTAGCATTGAATTGACTTATGGTGAGACAGGTAGGTAAGTAGACAAATAGATGGATAGACTTACTCCTTCCCTATAAGCACTGGATGATGACGAGTCCTGGCTCCATCTGGCAGTGGAGGTGGACAGGGAGGCCCGCTGAGTGATGGGGATCCGGGAGCGGATGAGGGGGGTGAAGGAGTGGGAGAACATTTTTATGAATTTCAATGGTAGATTATTAGATAAGGTAGGAGTGACAACAAATATGATTTTTGTTTATGTAGTAGATATGTATGTATCTCCGCAAGTTGAAAGTTGCTTTCGGCGAGAGACGGACCGTCTGCTGACTCAGCGATGCCTTCGGCCAAACAGTCACATGATATCAAGCGAGAGGCGAAAGTCGAGAACACGCGGGGAGGGGCAAGGAGTTTAAGGGCGATAAGCTTCGTGGGGAAAAAAATCGTGGGCTACTATTTATATTTTTTAACTATCTAGGCACATTATGGGGCTGAGATGTGGCTCAAGACCTACTATGATTTTTATGATTTTATCTTGGAGAAGGTTTTGGATTTTTGGTGGGTTATGATTGGAAAGGTTGTAGAAGATATTGTTTAGTTTGAGGAGATATTTTAGTTTTGGTTTTGTGTATTAAGTCTATATAGAGGTGAAATTGGGGAGTTTGTTGTTCTGGGATATGGAGGGGGTTGAATGTTGTTATGAAAGGAACGGGGGGGAACAGGACGGGAGAAATAGCGAAGATAAGAATGGGAAGGGCTGATACTTGTTTGGTTTGTGGTGCGCACAGTCATGGATTGGCGGCTACGCTAGACTACATTAGGAACTGGTTGCTGGTTAGTAACCACTCGGGGACGGGTGGGTGGTGGCCTGAGGCCAGTGACCGGGCACTGAATTGCCCGCGCAGTTCAGCTGCTGCTTCTCTTGTGTCTCTCTCCCACTGCTTGTTGCTGCTGTGAGCATCTCCGGTCTCTTGATCTATCCATCGTCTTCTTCCCCCGGTGGATTTATCTATCACTTTGGCCACTTTGAAGATTCTTTTTTTATTTTTTCATTCATTCATTTGTCCTTCTTTTCTTTCTTCCCTCCTTTCCATCGGGGATCCAATCCCCTCCCCTCCCCCTGTGCTGAGCAGCTTGCATGCGACGCGTCCCTTCCGGTTGGTCAGTCCGTGAGCCTCGCTCCGTTCATTTCATTTCCCTGCCTTTCTCTCTCTCCTCTTGCTTTTGGCGCATTGCGCTTCGCCATCGTCTTCTAATTTTTTATTTCCTTTCTTCCCTCCCACTCCCTCTCCTACCCTCGTGTTGTATTATTCACGGCCTCTGATTCCCTCTCCATTAATAATTGATGGCCGTTGAAACCTGCTTCCATTGTGGGTTTGCCTGAGAATCTACCATCATCGTCACTCGTTGAGTGAGAGACCTCTCCATCGCTCGCTCTGTGTGTGTGTCTGTCCGAGTGAGTGTATTCGAGTTTTGCTTCCCCTTCTACCAGCCTTTCCTGTCGGTTTGCAACGGGCCTTTTCATTCCTCCATTCACTCTCTTGTTACATTGGCCTCTGTAAGTGCCACTATCATTCTTCTCCGCTGTTTAATCGCCGCGGCGGGACATCTTCCCCGTCTCTGGCTTCAACTCCACGCTTCATCGCCCTCGTGCTTCTTGTATCTTCTCTGCTCTCTATGTCATTCTCTCCATCCTCTGCTTGCTAATCCATCACTTCCTCGTCTTGTTCACCTTACTAACATGGCAATTCGCAAAAGATCCCCTGTCTGGCGCGGCATCATGCCTCGTGCTAAGCGCTCCATCGAGGAGTTGGCCAACAAGTCCGACTCGGACGATGACGACTACAGCGATCATCCCGTGCGCTCATCTCGACGCTCCGCCTCTCGAACCAAATCCAAGAAGAAGTCCAAGCCCGTCAAGAAAAGGGCCCGTCGCGATTCCGACGACGACATCATCTCCGATGACGAGATCTTCGACGAGGCCGAGGACCTTTCATTCGCCGAGTCCGAAGAAGAGGACGATGATACCAACGCTCAACGCAACGCTCGCGGTTTAGTCGCTCGCCGGGCCGCTACGAACCGTCCCCTCTACAACGAACCCGAATCCAGCAGCATCGAAGACGACGATACGGACGATGACGAACGCCCTAAACCCTCGCCCCAGAAACGTAAGAGTACGGTGGTCACCCTGAAGGTCGGCGACGCATTGAAACAAAACTTTCAGGGCCCCCGCCGGGTCACTCGGCGCACGCGGGATCCATCGGAGGATTTCCACGCCCTAACGACGTCCGGACGACATATGGAAACCGTCGAACGAGGAACCACACGGAGCCCTGAGCTAGAGCGGCGTCGGGGGTCCCGTGGCTCGAAGCGGGCCCCGGTGCTCGATGAGGAGGAGGAGGACTTGCAGCCGAAGCAGGAGGATGAAGAGATGGTCGATGAGACCACCATGGAGGTCAAAGGCTCTCAACTCGAGATTATGGAAAGCGATGTTCAGATCAGCTTCGAGGACGGCATGCCGCCTGCAGCAGGCGAGGGACAAGAGGCAACCACAGCAGATGATGAAGGGTTCGTTCCAGAGTCTGAGAATGGCGATGCCAAGGATGGCGGCGGCGACGATGACGACGACGAGGAGGAGGAGGATGAGGGCCCGACGACACGAAGGAGGAATCGACCCAATCGCAGCCAGCAGGCAGACGACGAGGCCGAGCAGCCCGAGGAAGACGAGGCTGCACACCCGCGCCGTTCCAGTCGAAAGAAGCCGAAAAGTTCACAACGAAAACGCCAAGACGACGAAGAGAGTGATTTCGAGCCAGAGGAAGAAGAGTCTAATGACGACGACGAGATCTCACAGTCTGGGAAGTCGCAATCTTCACCACGCAAGGGAAGTCAGGCCCATGAGGAGGATGAGGACAGCACCGCCGGCCGTCGCCCGGGTCTCCGCAAGCGCGCCTCCCGATCCCGGGGACAGTCCGAAGTGGGTGCTGACATCGCGGAGGAGCTCGCAGAGGAATTGGAGGATCTTCGCGGCGGTCGTCCTCGTCGGCGAGTACAACAGGAGATTGTTTACGAGAAGCCTCGCCGCAGTCGCAAGGATGTTGACTACCGCATCATCCGGCCTGATCTGATCCTGCCCATCGAGGAGGCCGAGAACGAAGTCAATGAATCCCCTTCACGCCGCGGCCGGGGAGGCGGCGGCAACAGTTGGCAGCGCACCCTGTTTCCCACATATGGGCCATTCGGAGGCGGCGGGCCGTCTGCCATCTTGGGGCCCCCGGGCGCACCGGCTGCTACGGGTGGGGTAGACAGCGATAGCAGTGACGACGAGGTTATGCAGCATCCCAAGGGTGGTGCAGGGGGTTCCATCTCGGGCCCTGCGCAGCCTGGTGCCGGCCTCTTGGGTACGCAGACTCACAGCGCCGATGCAGCCCAGGGCCACGCCGGGACGCCTGCAAATCTCGGCAAAGTCAAAGACAAGCAGACACTGGCTGATGCTGACCCGTTGGGTGTGGACATGAGCGTCAACTTCGACAGTGTTGGTGGCTTACAGGGCCACATCGACCAGTTGAAGGAAATGGTGTCGCTGCCGCTACTATATCCAGAGATCTTCCAACGCTTCCACATCGTACCTCCGCGAGGAGTGCTTTTCCATGGTCCTCCCGGAACTGGTAAGACGCTGCTCGCCCGAGCATTGGCGAACAGTGTCAGCTCAAATGGCCGTAAGGTGACCTTCTACATGCGCAAGGGTGCCGACGCGTTAAGTAAATGGGTGGGTGAGGCGGAGCGACAACTTCGGTTGCTCTTCGAAGAGGCTCGAAAGACACAGCCTAGCATTATCTTCTTTGACGAAATCGATGGTAAGTGACTCCCCTTTCTGTCAGGAGAGTATTGAAAGCTAACTGCTGTAGGATTGGCACCTGTACGGTCAAGTAAGCAGGAACAAATCCATGCCTCGATTGTATCCACTCTTCTGGCGTTGATGGATGGTATGGATGGACGTGGACAAGTCATCGTCATTGGCGCCACGAACCGTCCCGACTCGATTGACCCAGCCCTTCGTCGCCCTGGTCGTTTCGATCGCGAATTCTACTTTCCCCTGCCCAACAAGGATGGTCGACGTTCTATCCTGGACATCCACACCAAGGGATGGGACCCACCGCTGCCTGGCCCTATCAAGGATGAGCTGGCGGAGATCACCAAGGGCTACGGAGGTGCTGATCTTCGTGCTCTCTGCACAGAAGCAGCCCTCAATGCAGTGCAACGACGTTACCCTCAAATCTACAAGTCTAACCAGAAGCTACTCATCGACCCGAAGACCATTGAAGTGACCCCCAAGGATTTCATGTTGGCGATCAAGAAGATGGTCCCGTCGTCGGAGCGATCAACCTCGTCGGGTGCCTCACCCCTGCCCCCCTCGGTCGAGCCTTTGCTGCGCACGCCTCTCACAGAGATCAAGAATTTGTTGTCTTTGATCTTGCCGCAGCGAAAGAGACTTACAGCGCTAGAAGAGGCGCAGTTTGAGGAACCGGAAGGATCAGGGAGCTTCCAGCGCGAACAAATGCAACAGGAGTTCGATCGGTCTCGGGTATTCCGTCCGCGCATGCTGCTCCGCGGGCCGCTAGGAATGGGCCAGCAGTATCTGGCCGGCGCCCTTTTACACCATTTCGAGGGCCTCCATGTCCAAGCGTTTGATCTCCCTACCCTGCTCAGCGACTCGACTCGGTCACCGGAGGCTGCCGTCATCCAGCTTTTCGCCGAAGTCAAAAGGCACAAGCCGAGTGTAATCTACATTCCAAACATCCAGGCTTGGACTGATACTGTCGGCCCGGCCGTGATGTCTACGTTCCTGGGTTTATTGCGGTCAGTCCCTCCGACCGATCCTGTGCTGCTATTAGGCGTTCAGGAGTCGGCAGGTGAGGATATGGACAACGGTGTGCTGCGGAACTTGTTCGGGTATTCAAAGAAGAACTTTTACGATCTCAGAGCGCCAGGTAGCGAGGCACGCTACGAATACTTTACTAAAGTGATTGACTACGTCAAGGCATCACCTGCACACCTTCCCGACCCGGAGAACCGGAAGAAGAGGGAGCTGGAGACATTGGAAGTTGCGCCCCCGCCGCCCCCTAAGCCAGCAACGCCCCTCTCCAAGGAGCAGCTCAAGGCGCAGAAAAAGAAAGACCACCAAACTCTCAACCTCCTTAAGATCCGCATCCAGCCTATTATGGATCAGATCAAGAAGTACAAGCGGTTCCGCACTGGCGTGATCGATGAATCTCAGATTCGCTACCTTTGGGAGGAGGAAGATCCAAACATCGTGACAAGTGATTTGCCGATTGAACAGCGCACCACCTTCCGGCCGTTTGAGAAGGCTTTCGACAAGAATGGAGTGCCTGGGCTGCGCGAGGCCGTGTCGGGCAAGTTCTTCTACAACCTCGAGATAGTCACCATCGAGAAGCGGCTCTCCAACGGGTACTACAAGCGGCCCAAGGATTTCTTGGCAGACATTAAGAGGCTAGCTAAGGACGCCCGGCAGCTAGGGGAGCAGGAAAGACTGCTGCGCGCTAATGAGCTGTTGTCTAATGTCGAGGTGGATATTGCTACCATCGAGCAAACCGAGCCCGCTCTGGTGACGGAATGCGAAGGGGTCTACGTGCGAGAACTGGAGAGAGAGAAACTTGCCATCGAAAAGGCGCGCAAGGCGGCGGAAGAAGAGGAGGCAGGCCTGATCGGTCGCGCGGCGGTAAACCGAGTCCCGCACGGCAACACAGAGTCGGGCCCATCCAGCGGGCCGGTGGTCCTAGGTGAGACGTTCCCGGATCTTGGTCCGAAGGAGACGGCCCGACCGGTGACCCCTACCCGTCGATCGACAGTGAGCTTCATCACTAATGGCTACCATACCGGGGGCGGATCGGACCTGAACGATCTCAGTACGCATGCGCTCACCAGTAACGGCTCGCATGAGGAGCGCCCGGATGGTGATGGTGATACTTACATGACCAACTCGGATCACTCTGCCGAAAAGGAAACACAGACGAGTTCGTTTGGTCCGTCGGCGCAGCCCAAACCTCCCTATTCACACACAGCGCCATCGCAGCAGGTGCGCCGGGAGTCGGGAATTTCAAGCTTCTCGCAGAAGGGGCCCATGACGCCCATGGCGCCCGGATCTCAGCCTCACGAGTACACTAATGAGGCATCGACGACACAGACGACGTCGGACAAGAAGTCGTCTGAGCAGTCCTCAGTGCCGAATCCGTACACGCAGAGTCCGGTAGCCACTCAAGGGATGCGACATGATTTTCCCGATCTCACGCAGTACCCGGACCGGGTTTCGCAGGAGGAACATCTTCCGGACACGCAACAGGGAGACAGCAGCCAGCCGTCACCCCGACCGGCTGCCGATATGGCGCCGCTAGAAAATGGCCCGGCGCACTCGCAGCCACGGGCTCAGCCGCCGGTACCCCTGTTCGACCACCCAACCAAGCCGGCAGCGCATGTGCCGGCGGGAATGCAGTCGCTGCTGAATAATGAGGACCTGTCGCCGAAAATAACGCTGGATCTGGAATACGTGCAGAAGCTGCACGAGCAGCTCACACAGCGGACGAGCGGCTGCAGCGTGGAGCAGCTAGAGCAGATCAACACGAACCTGATGGACTACCTATGGCAGACGCGGGGAGAATGGAATCGGAGCAAGGTGGCAGCGGGAATCCAGGACACGTTCAACGAAGTGCTGGAGGACATGCAGGCAATGCAGGAGATTGGGCCGATCAGCCAGAAGACGAAGGAGCAGCTGTATCCGCTGTAGATGGAGGAGCGTTTTCATGTGTGATTGCTTTGTGGGATACCATCATACCCCCTTTACCATTATACCTCTTTGAAGCGACATGGATTGTATCGTATGTTTATACCTGCTTGTCTTGAATTTTCTTTGTTGTGTTGCTTGCTCTGCGTTGCGCTTTTTGCTACTGGTACTGAATTATGGGCGGTCATTTGTTTGGATCTTGCATGTATCTGGGCGTGCAGCATATTGTTGCCGACGTGTTGAATTAGCTGGAAAAGGCTGTATTCTTGTAGATAGACTGGGGAATACATCTACGATGATTATACTATCTATGCAGTTACTCTAACTGCTATGTTGACTCTTGAGTATAGTTAAAGAAGTAGTTGTAAATAAATGGCTGCTAGGCGGTGGCATGTGACGGGCCAAGACACCAGGCTGGCCTTTCGTCGATCCTCGCTTTCTTCTTCCATCTCCGCTGCTCCGCCGCAATCTTCCGCCCACCACAACCACCTTCACCCATTTACAACACTCACCCCCCGGCTGGGTTGATCCTTGCAGGCAATTAATTGACAACTGCAAGTCCATTCGTTCATTGCATCTGTCGCGAGCATATACACCAAGACTCCTGTCCCTACTATGACTTCTGTCTAACAAACACACCATAACCAACCAACCAACCAACATCACCGCCCAACCCAACCTACACTCACCACATACCAAGCACACCACACCACACACAGAAACCACAACAATAAACCAAAATGGTCAACTGGCTCACCCTCGCCGTCCCCTTCGCCTACCTCGGCGTTCTCCTCGGCTCCCTCGCAACCTTCTCCTCCCTCTACCGCAAGCGCAAAGCCCGTACGTCCTTCCCCTTCCCCCTTCTATCAGCCCTTTTCCCAGACCTCTTAACTAACCAAATACCCCAAAAACCAGGCAAGTCCCTCTCCCTGGAACCCTGGTTCCCTCCACACACACAACGCGATATCTACTTCTCCCTCCTACACCTCGACCCCTCCGCCAGCAATGACGCCAGCAAGAACCCCAACGGCAAGAAACTCCCCTCGTCCGTGCCCGACAGTGTCCTGAAATCCGCTCTCCTGCGTCGCGCCATCGAAGACATCAAACGCATCATGGCCCTGCGCACACAAAAGGGCGCGCTCGCTATGCTCCTCCAGCGCGGTAGTGTCGGTGATGATCTGTGGCAGCGGTTTCTCCGTGCTGAGAAGGAAATGGAGGATGAGGTTAGGGATGTTGTTGCTGAGGTAATTACCACTCACCCCAACCCCTCTTTACTTTGAATATGGGAAAGTCTGTGTGTGCTAACTGATATGGGGTGAACAGGCAAACGCCTACGTCCCCGGCTGGGGCCAAACGATCTTCCAGTCAGCCAATGAAATGCTGAATAATGCTATTTTCCGGGAACGCATGGAGAAGCAGCAGGCCAAGTTGGAGGAGGAGAAGCAGTGGTGGGAGAAGAGGAAGGAGGGGTACATGAAGGAGTTGGATGTCGAGGCGGAGAAGAAGGAGGAGGTGGTAGAGGAGGCCGGTGAGAAGAAGGCTGCTGCTGCTACTGCTGCGTCAACGACTACTAGTGAGGAGGGTTCTGGTGTTCCTACGCCTGCTACTAAGACGCCTGAGTCGTCTGGTGCGCCGCCTTCGGTGGCGGGGAGTGATGATGATGCGGTGTTGGTGGAGGCGGATGAGCAGAATGCTGCGAAGAAATAGATTTGATCTTCATCTTTTTTTGCTAGGTTTGAATTAGATTATATGGGTGCGGTGTTTTATGATCACAATATATATCCTTATCTATTTCTGGTACTGGTGATGCTAGTAGCATTTACTAAGTAGAGTGGATTGATGGCTGTAGTGTATAGTGCGATCAATGTGGAATATCAAGTGCCACTGGTGTTGCGACCCAGTCAGAGTTCATGATACTGACATATAACAGAGTAGTTCTCGGTCAAGTATAATACCTGATAGTACTACTACTAGTAGTATTACCGAAATTTGGGAACAACGTGGCTGAAGCCAAATTGAAGAGAGGACATCCGATTCTATCATGATACTATAATATATTACATGTATACCCCCAGATTCACCATTTTATATATACACCCACACCAACAACCTAGACAAGAAGCCAAAGACATAGCCAAACGCCAACCATGCTCATAAACACCTCACCCCCCTACAACAACAAATCATCCCCCAGCGACATCCCCAAATCCACACCCGTTACCCCCATCTGCTCAGCAACCTTCGCAATCTCCTCTTCCACCGCACTGTGACCCTCCCCTCCAGCCGCCCGCCGACCCATCACCACGCGCAACAGCTCCGTCATGACCTCCAACTGATACTGCTCGCGCTCGTGCTGCTCAAGATCACTCAGTTCCAGACCACGGGCCGCGAGCGCCCCGAGCTTCCGATCACTGAGGATATCTACGAGCCGATTAACGTGGCTGATATTCTCCTTGCTCTTCGGTGTGCTGGACAACCGCCGGAGTCGGCGCTTGGGTGTCTCAGCCGGGACACCTGCTAACCGGGCGACCTGTAGCACGATCAAGCGGGCTGTGGTGTCGTCGGGGAAGAAGCCAAAGTGTGCGCGCATGGTGTACAGGGCGATGAGAGTGCCAGGGAGGTCTTTAGAGAGACAGAAGCAGCGGATAATTTGGTCGTAGAGTTCCTTGGAGAATTCGTCGCGGGTGGCGGTTTGTGCGCGCGCGGAGAGGTTGGTGAACCAGCGGATCATGTCGGAGAAGAGATGTCGCGCGGAGGGAAAGTCGGTTACGTAGGCGGTTCGGCCACGGTCGTATTGTAGCTTGCCGCAGTCCCAGAGGCAGGCGTAGGTTTCGAGGTCGGGTTGTGTGATGGCGGATAGGGATTGGTATTTGGTCCAGAGGGAGCCAATGTCTTGTTTGCGGAGCTCGGCGTAGAGGAGGTGGTTCATGAAGTAGGAGTTCGGGTGGATGCGGCCGTCGCCGAGACATTTAACGAGGTATTTGATCATGTCGTCGTCGCTGCGCCGTGTGTAGTGGAGGAGGAGGATGGAAAAGGTCTCGATCGTGGCGGCGGGCATGGGCCGTTTCATGAACTCGGGCAGTCGGACGTCCTCTGCGCTCTCTTGGTTCACGTCGAGTTGGGGGGCTTTCTCGGTGGAGGTACGCGCCCAGAATTGGTCGATCCGCTGCTGGACCATGGCCCATCCGAGGCGTTCGGCTTTCTCGCGCGAGGTGCTGCTGCCGTCGCGTAGCCAGGCGGCAATGACACCGTTGAGGTGCTTTGCATCTGGCTTGACGCCACGTTCGTACATCAGCTCGATGACCATGGCGGCGGAGTCGACCTCGCCCATGCCAATCAGTTTCTTCATCCAGCTGGCGTAGAAGAAGCGGTTCTGGAACTTCCGTGGCAGGACGGTGAGGGTAGAGAGGGAGACCTTGTTCACGTCTTGTTCGGAGATGCTGGACGCTTGCAGGTTGCCTGCTAAGCCGACGGCAGCCTTGTAGAGAGAGGTTGAGTCGTGTCGGGGATCGCTGTTGGTTACCATCATGTCTTTGAATACGGCGATGGCAAGGCTTGGCCGGCCGGCTTTGAGCAAGCCAATGCTGACTTGATCATAGTCGTCCATCGTCATCTTCCGTTCTAGGAATGCCTTGAGCTGCAGGTACATCGCCCATGCTTTGACTTCCGCTTCCTTCCCAGTCCGCTTGCCCCAAGCTGTGATGACTGGGATCAGAATGCGTGGTTGGCGTGACTTGTCGTTTGCTAAGAAGGCCAGCGCAATATCTTGTGCTCGTTGAGGATCGTTTTCTGCTGCAAATAGCCGGACTCCTAATTTCCAGTATGCCTCCAGGTCCTCTTTCCGTTGGCTGAGCTCCGCCTGGTATGCTTCCCATTTCTCCAACGCCACTTGAGTATCCCCGCATTCATGGAGTGTTTCGATGTAAGTGAGAATACGAGGCGTGGAAAGGGTGAGGCCAGCTGATAGCGCGTCCTCAGCCAGTGTGCGTACCCGTGCAGTTTCCTGGGGTTTGGTGGACTTTTTCAGAGCCAGAGTATCCCACAGGAGAGTCAGTGTCTCCTCTGACAAGGACTCCACAAATCTCGGGACGACCTGCTTGCATCGGCGATACCATCTCCACAGTTCCTGTTCCCAGTGCACGCTAGAGTCGCCACTCGCAATCCGTCGAAGGCATTTGTTCAACTTGTCGGCATACGGCTGCAGGTCTGAGTTCTCCAATTCCACTTCGTATGGGCGCCGCACAACCAGTGTACGCGAATCATCCTCCTCGTCAGACTGCCAGCTCTCCTCTTCCTTGACCAGGCTTTCGAATTCATTCTTCAAGAGACCGTCGAGCTCCTTCTCGTAGAGATCCTTAATACTGACATCGGCCGCCCCAGCCGCCTCATCCTCCTCATATTTCCGGAGTGCTTCCAGCGCAATAGCCCTATCCTCTTCTGGTAATTCTCGAATAAATTGACCGTTTGGACCAAACGGGCCTTCCTTCAGCTCTTCCAGCTCCTGGGTCAGGCGGGCGAGTTCCTTCGCGGCGTCTTCCTGCTCGGCGCGTCCTTCCGCTTCCGGATCAACCTTCCGCCGTGTCTTGCTCTTACGAGTATCCTGCTCGTAGAAGTTGATCTTGTCTTTGGGACCGCCATAGTGTATGGAGCGTGGCGCTACAGCGGCGAATGCTCGCGGGAAGAACGGACTTCCGCGGGCCACATGCTGATACCAACGAGCTCCTCGGACAGCCTGGCTGAGCATCAAGTATGAGCGATTAAATCATGGAACAAGGTTGTGTATATATGCAAAATAACACCGACCGACAGCTGTAAGAGAGCACACGAAAGCGAGGATTGCAGGAAGATGATGGAGAAGAAAGAATAGAACAAGAATGGCAGCTCCGCGGCGGAAAACCATCTCATCCCAATCGGGACTAGCGCCACCGCGAGCTCGATCGCCGCAAAGAAAGTCACTCCATGAATCAACTCGTCCCATGCTTTTTTCTAGCCCGCAAGCTGTTCCTCTCGATAAGCTTCCTTGTTCCTTGTGCTAGACGCCGCTCACCATGGATCTCGGCTCGTTAGAGGTGGAGGCAGCCAATGCGCCCAAAGACGGCACCAACAGTCAGGTACCGTTTCCTCAATGCCCTTGTCGCGAACCCGTACTCACGGACCCAAGGGTGTGTATATCTACACGCCCGCCGACCAAAGCAAAGCCTCAGGTGAACGTCCCTCGAAACGCCGCAAGGTAGCTCCGAAGAAGGAAGAAGAAAAAGAAGGATCGAAAGCACATCCCTTCGTACCACTCCTTAACGGCGAGGAGGACGAGCAGTCCGTCCAAGCGCGGTATAAAACATACCAGCAACTATGGTCAACCCAGGAGGCAAAGATTCAGGTCGGTGATATATGGTTGGAGGAGGTTATAGCGGTACAAGTCTAATATTTGGGCTAGGAAATTCTAGATGATGTCGACTCCGAGGTCCTTTCGAATGTTTCGTCCTTTGTCCGCTCGACTTCACCTCAGACGTAAGCGCGCATATTCTTCCCGATGGTTGACTGTATGTCCTGAAACAATTGCAGATACGATGGCTGTATTCCAGCGGCATTAGTAACCGTGGGTTCCAATGTCTCATCGCTGGCTCGCCTGCTGGCCAGACTCAACGATCAATTCACCACTGCCGGAGACGGTGGAGCTATTGTGCTGGAATCCGGTGATGCGCCTAACCTCAAAACGACCCTCAAGAACATTATCCGATTTGCTATCACGAACACGGAGGGGAACGATGGTTATCAATCTTCCCTTACAGACCGAGAGGTGACTATATACAGTCCAACAACACAACAGGGCATGCGCTGAATGCCAATACAGGGCCCTAGACTCCTCGGTTACGATCTTGACTTGCTAGGCGACTATGTGAAGCGAAAAGGCACAAAGAAGTTGGTTCTTGCATTTCGAGACAGTGAAGCCTTCGATCCGGGCATCCTTACGGATCTCTTGTCTCTACTAAGGTGAGTCCATCCCTGAATTTGGGTGGCGCTTCGGCTGATTGTCCAGCTCCTGGCTTGATCGGATACCATTCACACTCTTGTTCGGCATCTCGACGTCCGTGGAACTCTTTGAGGGGAGACTTCCGCGGTCAACTGTCGCCTTGTTACGGGGTAGATATTTCGAAATGCATGAAGCGAGCAACTGCGTTGACCGCATCTATGGGAGGTTACAAGCAGAGCAGGATGGGAAGATATGGCTGGGGAGGAACATTACGAATGTTTTGTTCGAGAAATCCAATGATTCCTTCCAGACGCCGGAGGCCTTCAGTCGGACGGTCAAGGTATGTTCAAGATGATCGTGTGTCAACCCATTTAGCTTACACCTGTAGTACGCGTACATGTCACATTTCTTCGCAAACCCGTTGGCGGTGCTCCTTGCAGACGAAGTGGTTCCGAGCATGCGACAGGGTCTTGTGTGCGAGGCGATCCGGAATCTTCCTTCTTTCCGATTGTAAGTCAGCTGCTCATCATCATGATTCGCTATACTAAACTCGTAACAGTTATTGCGAAGAATTGATTGAGCAAGGCTCGGCCAAGCAAGTGCGTGACTTGCTCGAAAACGATGAATTTCTCTTCCAGCAATGTCTGCAGCACTTGAAAGACGGACAGCAGAAGATGCGCGATCTCTTTCAGTGCGTCAAACTGACGCACCTGCTACTGAAGAAATTCAGCCTCGTCAAGAAGACCAGCATATCAGAACTCTCAATCCGTGCACTATCAGGAGAGCTCCAAGACTCGCAATTGGTGACCGACATCCTCCAATCTGCAAAGACACTAGATTCCACCACCTTCCGGGAAGTATTAAATATCCTGCCTAGTACATTAGCAGAGCGTCCCGAGCTACAGCAGGTCAAAACCGAATTCGACGCCTTAATACAATCGTATCAAGGCACCGAACCCCTTCGCACCGCCTATGACAAGCGTCATTCCGTCGTCGCCACAACCGTTGTCCAGCAGCGGGTGAAACTCAGCAAAGGCAAAGCAAAGCTGCCCCAAGAGCACGTTGAGTATACCCAAATTATCGACCGTTTCCACGCCCTGCTCGAAGCATATTTCGGGCAAACTCTCGAGACCCCGCAAGATCTCGTCCTGCATGAGATCTTCCTCTTTGACATGAGAAACCCTCTGAAAGAGATCTTCTCGCCACGGCCACGCTTCGCAGTGGAACGGGCCTTGTCTAATCCATTCGATTACCTCATCTCAGACTCCCCGGAGAAATCCGAGGCTGCTGCTAGGGTGTCCGCGAATCAGCCTGCCACATCTATTCTGTATCAGTTGTATCTGGAGTCCGGGTCCTTGGTCAATGTTTATGACCTTTGGCAGGCATTCTATGCGGTGTTCGAAAGCGAACAGGGCGATTCCTGTGATGAACGCACTACCATGGCCTTGTTTTACCGCGCTTTGTCGGAGCTCAAGGCACTGGGTATGGTAAAGAGTAGCCGCAAGAAGGCAGACCACGTTGCGAAGAGCGCATGGATGGGCTTGTAGATTTATATTTGCTGTATATTAAACTATAGTACTCGTCATCGACACATATGGCGACTTTCATACTCAAAACCAAGGGTATCATAAAGAACATGCAAAGCAACCATCATCGCTAATCGATCCCTCATCCAAGTAGCGCATCGTTCATCATTCGGAAACAGGCAACTGTATAATGTCATCGTTCCCCAATGGACGTCCCCCATCGCTCAAGACCATGGCTTCTCGTCTGCGACGTCTAACAGCTTGTTCTTCAGCGGTGCGAAGACGCCGCCCAGGCATTCGTCTAGTCCCGGCCGTATCTTCCCCATCCACCATCCACACGTCGCTATCGTAGTCATCCTGATCATTCTCTTCCATCAAGCTGCCCATCAACCCGTACTTGCGCAGCTGCTTGGCTCCCTCGGGATGGGAAGACAAGGTACCGAAGATAGCACTCATCACGGTATCATCCATCCACCAAGTCTTCATGAGAAGCACCACATCCTGTCTTCGGGAGGGCTCCGATAGGGCGCACGGGAACGGGTAGTTGACTAGCCAGCGGCTCACGATGCCGGCTTCTAATGCGGCAGGTACATTCTCTTGCAGAATGATGTTCAAAATACTAAGTGCCTTCTTCTCACCAGGAGGTCTTGTCTTTGGCAGGATGGGGGAGATCGTGGTTGTTGTTTCTTCGACGTGTTCGTCGGTCAAGATGCACAGGCAGTCAATGAGTGCGTTGTAGGTGGCGGGGTCTTTCAATCGGCTGCATACGGAGGTTCGTGAGACTGCACAGACTCATTAGCATAAGGGGAGCTCATAGCAAGGCAAGCTGGGTAGTTGATGCATACGAGCGCGGTTAGAAACAAGAAAGTGCATGGCAGTCAGTGCTTTGCCCCGCCGTTGTTTGTTCCTGGTTGCAAGGTCTCTGAGAAGCAAATCTCGTGTTTCGCCCTTGGTAGATCGTTCAGCAATAATGCGCAGAGCCCTGTAATCCTATATTAGCTGGTCGCTACTGAATACGTCCGAGGCCGGTCATACGCCGCACGGAGATCATAGCTGGTGCTATCGGAGAGCTTTAGCAAGGTATCTAAGTTCAATGCTGTACCAGTAGATTAGCCAGCGTATACATCGCTATAGTGCACATCGACGTACCATCCTCCGTCCCCTCACTGATCATCTTATCCTCCTTCTCAACATGCTTGATTTCCGTCAATTCGCGCACTCGGCGGAGGTCCGTGACAATCCCGCGCACGGCGAAGAACAGCGAGACGCCTGGACGCAATTAGTTCTTGCTTTGTGGCATCCATGTCAAGGTCGGCGAACACATACCTAGACATAACCACACGACACGATCACTCATATGAGACCCCATGGTTTAACTCGACAACACTGGCAGCCGATGAGATAATAGTTGCAAGTCCAGCAGCGGAGGAAAAGCGGGGAGTCACGCGGCAGTCCCAATAGTGCCGGCAGAACCTGACCCACCGAGGCGGTAAGCCCGCTTTTTTCTTCGGCCAAAAAATTCAGTGGAGATCCCAAGCATCGCTTTCTGCTGTTTATCGACGTTCAACACGCAGCCATGCCGCCTTCGCAGCTTAAACAGCTCAAGGCCTCCCTCCGCGACGGCGGAGTCTTGGGTCCTCAGCAGTCCAAGAAACAAAAGCGTCAGAATGCGAAGACTGGTGTGTCCGCGCAAAATCGCATGAAGCGGGAATCCGCTCTGCAGGCCATTCGCGATCGTTTCAACCCGTTCGAGATCAAGGCCACTTCGCGCCCCAAGTTTGACGTAACCACGCGCGATGTCGGGCCTAAGTCGAAGCTTGGCCATGCGAGGCCCGGTGTGACCAAGTCTCTTGGTGAAGAAAAGGTGAGCTAGGTTGGAAACCCTTCGACGTGGGGTGTCACTGACGGGGTACTTTCTATACAGAGACGTCATACTCTTTTGCGCGAAATGGACCGCAAGAACAAAGTTGGTGGAATCCTCGATCGCCGGTTCGGTGAGGATGATCCGACAATGACTCCCGAAGAGAGGGCTGCCGAGCGATTCGCCCGTGAGAGTCAGAAGAAACTGCGCAAGGAGTCGATGTTCAACCTGGAGGATGACGACGAAGAATTCCAACTCACACATCAAGGCCAGTCTCTGTCATTTGGAGAAGGCATGCCCGGAGATGACTTCCGCGAAGGCGATTTGGACATGGACGAAGAATCGGATTCGGAATTGCCTCGCAAGAGGAAGCGAGAGTTTGCCGATGAGGAGGATCTAGACGATGATATCGTGTTTGACGATGAGGAAGGCGAAGAGCCAGGGCGCAAGAAGTCGAAGCACGAAGTTATGAAAGAAGTCATCGCCAAATCCAAGTTCTACAAAGCCGAGCGCCAGAAAGCCAAGGAAGACGACGACGATCTCCGAGAGGAACTCGACAAAGGTCTTCCCGATCTCTTCGATATGCTGAGAGGCGTGAAGCCTCCCCCGAAACCGGAGCCTCCAAAGGATGATTTCGCCTCGATGGACCCCGCTCGTGCGGCGCTGCTGGCCGGAAAGTCACAGAACGAGACCGAGCAGGAGTATGACCAGCGCCTGAAGCAGCTCACTTTCGATAAGAGGTCTCAACCGACAGACCGGACGAAGACGGCAGAGGAGAAGGCGGCGGAAGAGGCGGAGCGGTTGAAGAAGCTGGAAGAAGAGCGTGTCCGACGAATGCGCGGTGAGGAGTCAAGCGAGGAGGAAGAGGAGGATGAAGAGGAAAGTGACGAGGAAGAAGGCAGCGAGGATGACGATGAGGAGTCGTTACCGGACGATGCTAAGGCGTTCGGTCTGCAACAGCCCACGGCCGAGACGAGCACTCGTCCTGAACTGGGAGTCGAAGATGAAGACGATTTTATCATCGACGACGACCTTGTGGAAACGAGGTCCAATGCTAGTCTCTCCTTCAATGAAAGCGATCTGGAGATGGATTCCGCGGAGGAGTCCGAAGAGGAGCCTGAGGATGACCAGGAGGACGAGTTGATCAACGGCTTTACGCTCCCTGACAGCAAGTCCGGCGATGCCTCAACTGCTCCCAACGGCACCGAAGAGCCCACTGACGGCCTGGCATACACATACCCCTGCCCCGGCAGTCATGACGAGTTCCTGGAGATCATCAAAGACGTGTCAATGCAGGACCTCCCTGTCGTCATCCAGCGGATTCGTGCCCTGCACCATCCCCGGCTTCACCCCGATAACAAGATGAAGCTCGGCCGATTCGCAGGCATCCTCGTCGAGCACGTTGGATACATGGCCGATCTACCGGAACATCCTCCGTTCGCCATCGTGGAGAACATCCTCCGTCACATCCACTCCCTGGCGAAGACTCACCCCGACACCGTCTGCCAGGCCTATCGCGCCCATCTCCGCCAGATTGCCACCGAACGTCCGCTCAATCTCCGTGCTGGTGACCTCGTCATCCTCACCGGCATTGCCACCACCTTCCCAACCTCCGACCACTTCCACGCCATCGCAACCCCGGCACACCTTTGCATTTCGCGCTACCTGGGCCAGGGCGTCGTCAACTCTCTCGCCGATGCGTCCGCCGGCACCTACGCAGCCAGCCTACTCCTGCAATACCAGTCCATCTCCAAGCGCTACATGCCGGAATTCATCAACTACACCCTCAACATGCTGTGCCACCTCAGCCCGAAAGAGGCCAGTGAGAGTCTTGGATCCTTTCCCCTCCGGAGCCCCCAAACCTCTTTGCGCCTGAACCTCTCCTCCTCTAAGACCACCATCTCCTCCCGCAAGCTCCGCTTCTGGGATACGACCGACCAATCCCCTTCCAACCCCGAAGAGCTCAAGCTATCCCTGCTCACCACCCTCGTCACCCTCCTCGGCACCGCCTCCGACCTCTGGACCGGCAAATCCGCTTACAACGAGATCTTCACTCCAGTCCAGAACGTCCTCAACCACCTCCGCAGCAGCCTTAAGGGCAACAAGAAGCTCATCCCCACTCAAGTGCGGGACACCATCCAATCCACCCTGGACAAGGTTACCACCCAACTATCCCAAGCTAAACTCACCCGTCGACCCCTCCTCCTGCACAACCACCGGCCCCTGGCCATCAAAACCGCCATCCCCAAGTTCGAAGAGTCCTTCAACCCGGACAAGCACTACGACCCGGACCGCGAGCGCGCCGAGAGCAACCGCCTCAAGGCGGAATACAAGCGCGAGCGCAAGGGAGCGATGCGCGAGCTTCGCAAGGATGCCAACTTCATTGCGCGCGAGAAGCTCCGCGAGAAGAAGGAGCGCGATGCCGAGTACGAGCGCAAGTACAAGCGACTTGTGGCGGAGGTGCAGAACGAGGAGGGTCGCGAGGCGAATGCTTACGAAAGGGAGAAGAGATTGCGGCAGGGCAAGCGGTGATTATGATAATCATTATCATGAATCCATTGTTTTACTGCTCTATGTGGGAAAGCCGCCTTTCTCACTTGTTTCGCTTTTTCTTCTCTTTCTTTTGTTGCATTATTTTTCAACACATGGGTCCATGTCGACGAGTCTGCTCGGTCTAGCTGCGTGTGCCGGGCAGGTCTTTTGGTAATTCTGATGAAGCTAGTTGATATAGATGTATATATTCGTGATTATAGTTACTTGCTTTGATCATTGGGAATGATGATCGTGGAATGGCAGCCAAAAAAGAATGTTTTGATTTATACAATATCATCTTTCCGCATCTATTTAATACACGTATAATTTACACTAATACTATATATACTAGACCAGCAACTTCACCACCACCACCCATATTAACAATTGAAGACAATGTAATCACTGCGACAAGTCCGGTCCAACACTACTCCAATAATCGCACCTCTCTCTCTGCTCCTCCGACACCGTCTCCATCCTCGTCTCATTCGTGCGCAAAAATATCCTCCGATAATCCGCTCCATGCCCATTATTCCACGTCTCCCACTCCGGACTCCCTGGGTACCTTAGCGGATTCGGATCAAAAACCCTAATGAAACTCGTCCAGTAGCCCTGCATGACCGGCACAATCCCCGCATTCGTAGTGAAATACGACGCCGGCGGCGTGCCGCTCACATACTGCGGGCCCCAGATGGCATTCTCTTCCACGGTATGACTGACACCTCTGCCTGAGGCCTCCGCGGCGGGGTCCTGCACGGCATAATGATAGTTCCAGCTGTTGACACCAGCACCCGAGAACACAGAGGACATGTAGATCCCCGGACAGATGTATCTGATTTCACCGTACGCGGTGCTAGCGGGGCGCCAGTAGGGCGAGGAATTGGGGAACTCGCGGGTTTGATTTTCGTTGAGGTACCAGTCGTTCAGCTTGGTTAGGTGGGTGAAGTTGATGTTGGGGAATTGGTCTTGGATGAAGGTGTCAGCTTCGCCGACGGTTGATGTTGTTTTGGGGACGAAGATCGTTCCTTCATTGGTGTCGTCGCCGAAGATTACGGGGACTTTGATGTATTTGCCTTGTTGAAAGAGTCGGTATGTGTAGTCTGGGATGAGGGAGCCATCGACGACGGGGCCGTACATGTAGAGAGGTGCTTGTTGGGCGGTGGGTAAGGGTATGTTGATGTTGACGCGCTGCAGTTCTGTGGTGTTTAGTCGACGGAGGCAGGCGAGAGTGTCTGGATCGCTTGCGCAGCCGGCGCGGATGACCAGGTTGTTATAGGCGAATTGGCTTTGGTTGACGGTCAACATGGGGGCGAAGCTTTGGGACTCTGCGGCAGCAGCGTGGAAGAGTCCCTCGTCTTTGCCGCCGTATGCTGAAAGATGGAGAGTAATGGACGCTGCGCCTGCGCTGTCGCCGCCGATGACAACGTGGCTGGGATCGCCTCCAAACTGCGGTTGCGGTTAGTAGTAGTTTGATGGCTTCTTCCAGTGTTCGCATACCTTGCTGATATGTTCTTGCACCCACTCCAGGACCTTGATCTGATCCTTCAGGCCATTGTTCACACTTCCTCCCTGTAGCACCTCGGATCCAGAGAGGAAGCCGTACGGACCGACTCGATAATTGAAGGTGACCACAACCATGGACATGTTGGCCGCTTCAATCAATCCTGTTCCATTGAAGTTGGGGCTGGAGTTGGCATTGAAGCCACCCCCTTGGATCCAAACGAAAACGGGCAGTCTCGTAATATCTTTCACTGAGCTAGGTGCGTATACATCGAGGAAGAGACAATCTTCAGACGTGCCTGCGGGGGTGGGATATTGGCTGGTGGGAACACACCGGGGGCCATGCTGCGCCCTTGACATTAGCACAGACTCGCAATACATTTTTCCAACCTATTGTAGGAAGTATCATACCTTGAACGCATCTTGGACGCCCTCTACCGAGTCAGGATCCCGAGGCGCAGAGAACCGCAAAGACCCAGTAGGTGCAGCGGCATAGCGTATTCCCAGCCACTGACTAATACCATTGGGTAGAGATTTGCCTTTGTACTTTGTGTAGCCAAGGTCGACTGTAGGGTTCTGAGAAGATACTACAAGACCAAACAGGAAGAGGAACGGTGCCAAATGAAAGAGAATCATTTTATGTTGTGCAACGAGCCTTGGGGCTACGGACGGTTCAAACCGAATGAGAGAACTGTAACCCAAGATATCATGCTCTGATCAATGAAAGAACAACCCAGGCATTATAAAGCAACCCCGGCAGGAACATATCTCGCGGGAATGGCTCCAGGGTCTGAACAATAGGGTCGCAGATGTGGAGAAAACGTTGCCAGGCAAGGCGCCCTCCTTCCGCATGAGATGATTCGACATGGTGAAATGAGGAGAATCCTGCCAACACCACGGATCCTATTGTATGGGAAGTGTATTGGCCATCCAGATGAGCAAGGCCAGCCAACTAACTCTGGGCATAAGAACTTGGAACCCGCCCCCACGTTCCGAGCCACAGTCGAAGGGAGAAACACTCTGTGGGGGCTAGTATCAGCGGGCACTGATGCCGCAACTGAGAAGGGGGTCAAACCTAATCTGCAGCTAGGCTGTGCAGATGACGTGAAACGGCAGAGGACTGGTGCCATTGCGCTGTTAAGGGTCAGTACTTAGGGATTGGGCAGTTGTCCCGCTGGTCAATCGGGGGCCTGACGGGCCAACTGAAGGATTGAAGCTAATGATCTTGGCTGGGCTGAGCAAGACCCTGAAATTAGGGACATTTTTGACATTATTTTTGGGATGTGATCAAGTGAACTCAATCGGGTTGAAGTGGAAGAGAAAGTGAAGAAGAAGAAAGAGGACTGGGAAGTAAATCCGGAGGGGATAATCCGCGCCTCCGCATGTGACGAAATCCCCGCAAATCATCATGTTTTTTTTCCCGTCGCGGTTCATCTTTACCAACATTGTCTATCTGACCCAAATTAACAACCCAATCCCAGTCGCATTCGACTCCCTATAACTCTCCTCTATTATATCCCTCTCCAATATCCATAGTTTCGGCTCTACTTCTATCTCCGACGCACGCTCAGGCCCGTCCGCAATGGCACCTCCGCTTCCCCCTCACTCCGAGTCCCCCGCACGCGGGCGACCCGACGAAGACGACGAAGAAGAGGACTACATGTCCATGATTATCGAAGAGCCCCAGCAGAAGGAGACTTTTGCGCAGAAGAAGAAGCGTCAGCAACGTGAGGTAGGTTTTTAGGCGCATATCTTTTCCAGCTCCAGCTCCACCTAACTAACCCTTCCCCCTCAATCGCAGGCCGAAGCGCGAGCCAAAGTCCCCTCCAAAGCCGAACGCGCCGCTCAAGAAGCTGCCCGCCGCGATGCCGCCTTATCAACCAGCACGCTTGACCCTTCCAACAAAGGGTTTCAGATGATGGCCAAGCTGGGATTCAAGCCGGGCCAAGTACTTGGAAAACCTGCCGCGTCGCCGCAAGAGAGTGAGAAGGACACCAAGGATCCCGAGCATCGAATCCGGTCCGAGCCCCTCAATCTCATCTTCAAGGAGGACCGAGGAGGAATCGGTCTCGACTCGGAGCGAAAGCGGAAGTTCCTCGAAGAAGCCGCGGAAGTAACCAAGAAGGTCAAGCAAGAAGAGGGCGATTACCGCGATCGCGTCCGGTTGGAGCGCGAGACACGACGGCTTGAGGCTCAGTTCCATGCGGCGCAGAAGGTGGCTGAACGCTTAGATGCGGAGGCCGAGGGCGAAGTGGAAATAGGACCATCATCAACCGAGACCAACGGAGGAGAGACAGAGGAGCAAGAATCGCATGCGACACCGGATGTGGATGGCGAAGAATCGCAGACAGATACCCCCGCCTCCACTACAAAGAAAGCCAAAAGGCCCGTCAAACCAACACTGCAGATCAACATACTCTACCGGGGGCTGGTGCGCGAGCGGCAAGAAAAGGAGCGCGCCGTGCAGACGCGCCACATGTTGCAGACATCGCTGCCATCATCCTTTTTCCAGAACCCACGATTGCCCGAGTATGAAGACTCAACGCTCGACCCCGAGGACCATGAGGCCCTCGGAGGCCGTCGAGAGATGTCCTCCATTCTCGAACAAGAGCTAGAGGAAGAGGATCCGGAACTAGAGGAATTCAATGCGCTGGAACCAGGCGAGCGACTGGGCCGGCTGGTTCAATATCTCCGCGAAAAACACCACTACTGCTTCTGGTGCAAATACCGCTACGAGACCGCCGAGATGGAAGGATGTCCCGGCGTGACGGAGGAGGATCATGACTAACGACTTTGCCTACTTATAGTAATAGAGACCGGCGTGCTATGGAACCACCCATGTGAGTGTTTGTAACACATTTCTATCTCAATCGTTGGTTGTGAAGAATTAGACTAGCTATAATTATCGTATCATGCAGAACATATGCCTAACATTACATGGGGTACCATTCAGGCCCAATCGCCAGGATCGGGATCGCATATATAGTGAATGACGGAAAAGTCGAGGGCTGAGAGACAGACGATGGACGCAACATCGCCAGGCAGTTGATAGGAAAGAAATTTCGGTGGTATCAGTCAATGCGCCATTAGCCATCAAGCGTACACCGGTGACAACTGCTGCAGTGCTCGGAGCAGTCACCGGGATTCAGGAATTGCCACAGAGGAGAGGCAGGATGAAAAGAAACAGCACCGTTTCATGCTGATGTAGAAGAGTGAAAAGCGGGAAAAGGAACATCAAGAAGCAGGATGGAATGGCCTCAGGCTTTGGCCGCAGGAATTGACTCCATTAGCTGTGCCAACGAGCGACGTGGGATCGTCTGCAGGGTCTGGAAACAGCCGGTACAGATGCGCAAGCAGCAAAAGACACACCGGTATCGAACATCGCGGTCGAACTTCTGGCAGGCCATGCAGGGAACAGCATGCCAGACATTGTTGGCAGGGGGCATGGACCGATGGTCCTGGTAGCAGGCAAAGTGCAATTTGTTCAGCGGTGCCGCGACAGGCTCAATATCAGGAGGCGTCCATGGGCCATTGTTTTCTTCACTGGACACAGGCTCGATAGGTGCGCCAGTGTCGTCCAATTCCGGCTCGGGTTCTGGGATGAAGTCTTCCAATGGCTCTTCGGCATCCGGGCGTTGGATGGCAGGTAAGGGAGGTAATGGAACTTCCTTCCTTGCCGGAGGGCTTTGCACAGGCTCTGAAGTAGCAGGAGGACGATAGGCCTGATAAGCGCGGGGAGCGGGGGTGTAGTTACCTGCTGGCGGAGCAGGTTGTGGGAGGTCATCTTGATGATGGATAGGGGCGTTGAATGCGGATGATGGTGGCTGCACGGCGGCAGGCAGCGGAGCAGGAGCCGAATAATCAGGAACCGAGTCGGTTCGCGGTGGGATTACCGTCGTCACGGGTGCTTGTACCGGCTCTGGCTCCTTGTCCGGCACACAATCCGCGGACTTCTGCTTGAAGCCTTTGCGAGCAAAGGATGGAACTCGCAGGCCGCGGGGCCGGTTTTCTCTGTCGAGGATGGCCATGTCTCTTGGCCGAGCGCAGTAGTCTTGTGGTGGTGGTGATGGTGGTAGTAATAGTAGTAGTAGCAAAAACGTGGGAGAGCAGGGTCGAACTATCCGCGCAAGTGATCTGGCGGGGTAACTTTCCTACAAAGAAGGGAAGAGCAATAGTAGGAAAGAATGAAAGGGGATAAAGAGGGAAGGAGATTAGGAAGGGAAAGAGTGCGAAGCCTGATAACCCTAGAGAGTGCTGTGAAAAAGAGTAGAGGCGAAAAAAAACTAGAGGGAAAATGGAAAAGAAAAAAAAATCGAATCCAACCTGAACAGGCGCTAAAACAAGACATTCAAGGAAAAAAAGACCAGTAGGAAGTAATTAGTGTCAACTAACTAATCATCAGGGGGGACCGAAAAAGTGGATATGTGAAAAGATAAATCCGGCTTGTCCTCGATTCAGGAACGCGCAACAGGAAATCCGAGCTGAACCATGGATGAGCTCCACCCGTGGATAATGACGATGATGCATCATGAATGAATGAGCGTCATCGAAGGAAAAGTGGGGTGGGGGGAAACAGCTGAGGGAGAAAAAAAAAAGAGAGACAGGAGAGATGGATAGATAGATCGCACCTGAGTGGGTGCCTTCTGATCGACTTCAAAACTTTAACAGGGCCCTTGTGAAATGAAAGGTCAATCGCCAAGCGAGCTGAACTACTGAAGGTTGAGCATAATTCGGGATGAATACTAGTGGTCGATAGCGTCCGTTCGGCATCCTGTTGTTGCCTTTTTCGTGAACCTCCGAACATCCTGTCTCGTTTTAGCCCCATGAAAGATGCAAATATGCATCTAGGAGTGACTTTGGCCTGCTGTCATGCCTGGGATAGGCTGTGCAAGGCGACTTTGCAGCAGCAGACTCAAGGGAAGCCGATGACTGGGACTGAAAAGGCAGCCGGCAAAGCCGCGAGGGAAGATCGGCGATGACGAGAAGTGGAAGATGCGCTGGAGGCCCGATGGATATAACTGGACCCTGTTGAGGCGCTAATCCATTCGACAGGCCAGGATTTCAAGAAACATGTCGTCCTTTTCCCAGCAGCAGCAGCAGTAGTGGTCGTGATTAGGGGAAAGTTCGTGTACTTCCATGTTGACAATGCTTGGTATGTTGCCCATTTCCCTGGGACAACAACAGAATGATTGAATAGATTGAAGTGCACGCTGGTCAATAGATGAAAGGATGCTGGTCGGCTCATTTCCTGCCAGGGTCAGTGGAGCCCGTCGCGTGGCTGAAACGAGATCGTACTTCCGATCCCGCCGATGATCCCCTCCGTCAGGGTCACTGGCCATTAGTAGATAGATGAATAGATATCTATCGCCTACAGAAAGAAGAATAAAAAGGGATCAAGAAGTATAGGATAGCCAACAAAAAGAGGGACAGATTCGGTCAAATCATCCCCGCAGTATTTCCAACACTGAGTTAAATCGATCTATCCCATTCCAGCTACCAATCACCATCGCAATCTGGTGCCCCGAAAAAACAACATGCTCAAGTAGCGATTGATTGATAGATTGAATGACATCCACATCCGCCAGTTCAACTCCCGCACGCTCGCATACATAGGAAAGAAAAAGGCGCATCATCTCACTCACTCACGCGCATGAACCCTCAGCACAGAGAATAAAATGAAAAACCCAGAGAATGGTGGCTCAGACGAAATCTATGCAACTGTATGTATATAAGGAAAGATACCATGTGCGTCCCAGTGTCATCACAAATCAAGGAGAAGAAGAAATAAAAGGGTGGGGGGAGAAGGAACACAAAGGGTTAAAGGAGCGTATCATCATCAGGCCTTCCAACTCGCCTTGGTTTTGAATACGTAGCGTTGGCAGCTTCACGACGTAGCCTCCGTATCATGTGTGGCACTCGTAATTTCGACGGATTGGGTCTCCAGCTCTTTCGGCATCAGCCTGTCGCGCTGCTCCTCCATGGGTACCTTAGCCTCGGTGGTGGTTGTGGGTTCAGCAACGGATGCCTCTGCCACCGGCTGCGAGGCTGATCCCTCCACATTCGGCCTGGACGGGGTCTCTTCAACATGCTCGGGTGCCTCATCGCCCTTTTCTTCATCCCCAATCACGGCTGCCAAGCTGCGAAAATTGTAAAGGGGCTCTGCAAAGGAGCCTGCTCCCTCGGCCGAGCCCGCATGGTCTTCCGACATCGATTCGACCAGCGAGGAGAACGACGACGATGCGCTGGAAACATGCCGAAGATGCGAAGGCCTCGTGACATCTTTGGATGACGACTGGACAACTGATGGAGGTGACATACTCGGCGCTTGGTCGGCCGCGCTTGCCGATGCTGCCGCGGGCTGCACTTCCTCGGCCGCAGCACTGGATTCAGCGGCAGAGCCACCAGCTGGTTCAGAGCGGTCTACCTCCTTACCCTTACCGGCCGATACAAGCTCCTCGGCCGCAATGGAAGAGGAACTGCTGGTAACCCTACCCAGCCGCGCATCCGGAGGCACATCCAAGGCGGAGCTGCTCGCATTGTTACTGGTGAGCCCGGTTTTGCGCGCAACCTTTTCCGCCTTCTTGGCTTCCTTCTCCTTTCTTTTGGCCTCTTTCTTGGCCTCTTTCTCCTCTCTCTTGCGCCGCTCTTCCTCGCTCGCTAGACTTAGTCGGATCGCCTCCATCATCATCATCTCTTCCAGATCATCTATGCGATTCCGCCTCGAGCTCTGGCGAGGTGGTGCAATGTTACCAGACCCTTCTTCCGCCGAGTCGGCTTCGTGGCCGGCTCCACGCCTATCCGTGAGGAACGCCAGCGCCTGCAGCGCCGGGGATCCGGTGCGCGCGTTGGAATTCTGAGCTTCGGGCGCGCCGTTTCTCCGCATGACACTTCTTCTTCCCAGACCAATCCGGGAATCATTCCCAGCGCCGTTAGAGTGCATCAAGTAAGCCGCAGTATGAAGGGCAGTTGCTGCTGCCGACCGCCGCGCCGCATGAGCTCGAGCATTGGCAAGCTTCTGAGCCCAGTCGGGACGAATCCTATCGGTAGTGATCACAGTTGGATCGTTTGCAGATAACGAGGTCGCGCGTCGACGACCGGTGGTGGGGGTGTTCCCGGAGGATAGGGAGGATGTGGAAGACAGTGGAGAGGCCACATTGGGGCGCGAGCTCGGATCAGAAGCGTACGCTAGCCCTCTCCGGAACGGCGGGGGCGCATATGTCACCCCAAACTCCGGCTGGACACAGAATGGACACGCCGATGGTTCTGACACTAGCTGGCAGTCTTGGCTTTCGGCTTGATCACCACCCTCAGCTGGAGCAGAATCCGGGTTAGAGTCCCCATGCTCCGGCGGATGAGGGTCGGGACGTTTAATTTGAACAAAACATTCGGAACATATTGGCTGGTCGCAACACCTCGTCCGATTGAGATACGGAGGATAATACAGAAAACAGATAGGACATTCCGCCGCGTCCTTATATAGGTATGCTTCAATGGGTTGTCCGTTCACAAACGGGTCACGAGGCAACTGCATTTCACGCGAAGCCGCATCATACTGGATTCCATGCTTCGGCGTGGTTATCGACGCAAGAGTCTTGGCTCGCGCTCTAAACAGTGGTGAGCTCGATGTGCCGGATGCGATAGGAGATGTTGGGGAGGGGAGGGAATGTGCGGGCGGGGAAGACTGGGAAGCATCGGATCCGTATGATTGCGATCTTGACGTTATGGGGACCATCAAATACTGCACTGCGGCTGAATCTGAAGCCTCCTTTGCGTCTTCCGCGGCCTTGGGTGGGTTCTTATATTCCAGCTCAGGGGGGATCTCATCGGGAGGGGGAATGGGAAGACCACGCGCCGCAGCCATAAGCTGGTGCTCTGTCCACGAGTCCGAGAAGTCATTCAGTCCTCTCCAAAACGGCGCAAGTCGTCGTTCGATCTATAGAGAAATAGTCAGCATCGGCTCTGGGCTCTCCAAGGCCAGATTTGGCAGCGCGGCATGCTCACCATTAGCTGTCGCACCACAGCCTTGTTGAAATCCTCTGGGCCCGTATAGACACCCTGGGTCACCAGATAACCACCGTCCACATGTTCTTCTCTCATACTACGCTCCCGCTCCTTGAGCCGAGCCACCCGCTCTTTTTCTAGCCGGCGAGCCTCTCGTTCCTGCCTTGTTTCTCGTCGATGTTCGAGCGTCGCCAGATCTCGCTCTGAACTTCCGCCTATTCCGAGCAGGGACAGATCGGGCCGGCTACCCCGATTCGACCTGGAACCATCACCATGGTGGCGGTCACCGTATGGGCCATGGTGATGACTGCGGCGACTGGACGAAGCAAGCGGCCGGCTCTCTTTCGCCTGAGAATTGCCCATCTCGAACGAGAATGGGGACCGACGTGTAAGACGACAATAGTAGGGTTGGATGACTGGATAAGGACGGGTTAGAATCGACGGTGAGATTGGCAAGAGGCGGTCCGGATAAGAAAGCGGAGAAGGGAGCGAGCGAGGTTCCCGTCCGGTAATGAGAGGATGGAAGTGACGAGGGATGGTTTGAAGAACGAACGCCCCGAAACACAGGAAGAAAGAAAATGAGGACCCAAAATAACAAGTGAAGGGAAGGGAAAGGTGGAGCACACTTTAGAGGACCCTCAGTTGGTAGGGCGGGGAGGGGGATGGAAAAGAGACGATGCTAAGGAATCCGAGTGGCCATGTGAGCGACTGAGGTCGAAGCTGGAAGCGGCGATGAGATCAGACGTGCGGGCTTTAGTTAGCCGCGGGAAGACTTGGTATGGGGCCGGATCAGGGGGAGGGGGGGATGTGGGTGTGGGTGTGTTGAAGGAGGAGGAGTAATGTAGGGGGAAGGGATCTTCGTAGCAAAGACTACTTTTAGATATTGGGGAAGAGTGGCGATTGACAAACTACTTAAGTAGTTAAGCGATGAAGAGGAAGAAGAAAGTAAGTTTCAAAGGGGGAAAAGAGAAAAGGGAAAAGGGCAGAAGATCAATGGCAGTTCTCTGTTCAGTTCCAGTCCGTTTTACGGGGATTACAACAGTTACCAGCTGGTAAAAGGCAGGCCGGGTCGGGTCTGGTGCCGTACGAAAGATTACCTGATCATTCTCTCCGGATCCACTTTTCACCCGCCAAATCATGCCGCGGCTGAGTATCGGCCCGACTGTTACATTGTAATGGAGGCTGAAACCCATTTATTGCTGTTGCAACTTGCATCTCGTTCCAATGGATACATCGAGTCTTACATCAATCATTTTTCCATTTATTGCTGACTTCTCCCTGCAAAAAAAATTTTTTTTGTCCTTTTTCCACACACCGTACTTTCTTGTCGCCATGGTAGAGTCATGCCATGCCATGCCAACTTAAATCAATGCGTGGAGGACGACACAAGAAGTCTGTGGCTGAGAATGGCAGGCCTGCGCCACATCTCCATACCCGGTCTTGGCGGCCCGGAAAATCCCTCGGCCAAT